AGTAAATCATAAACAAATTTATAGCAATTTTCCAGGCAAATTTGCCTGGAATTGTTTACAGTTTAAGGGATAATAAATACTGAAATAACAGCACAAAAATATTTGTTTTATGCTAAGTATATATTTTTTATGCTAAAATTAATTTATTTTGCTAAGTCTATTATTCTTAGCATTAGTAAACTTAGTAAAACAAAAAAATTTATCTTTGACTAAATTGACATCCATGCTATATCAATATAATTTTAGTATAGACCAAAGATAATTATTATTAACCTGACATCTGGATATATTGTCGATGTAACCAGAGTGATGCGTATTAACTTATTTATGTAGCTACCATACAGCGCTGTATACAGTACCCCCTGAAAAAATACCCCCTTTAATTAGTATCGGGGTACTATTTAATTGTAAATTCGACTATTTTTGTAAAATATCCTGATACTATTCAAGTATCTATTATTATTAATAAAATAATGACTTTATTGATATATTTAATGAAGCTACGCTATGTTTACATATTTATTAAATACTGTAATAATTATCAGAAGTAATATTTTTTTACTTTGTAAAATTAATTATATCTACTGTTTTGTTTTTTTTTTCTTTAAAAAAAAAACATCTTTTTTCTAATTATTCGATTATTAATCATCCCATATATTTTGATAATTCGTTTCTTGTTCATTATAATAATTGTCATTATCTTCTTCAAGATTCACCTCTTCAACATTTACTTCACGAATTTTATTGACTAATTCTTGAATTTCATCTTGACTTTCATTAACAATGCCTTGGCTGTTACTCATTTCTTGATCTTCATTATTCAATATATCCATCGCATCATCAGGTAGACTTTCTTGATCTTCATCACTTAATGCTTCGATCTCATTATCAAATTGATTCGTTTGGTGGTTTAGATAATCATAATTAAAAATTAATTCATCTTCAGTTCCATCACGTTTATTTGATATGCCACAGCATTTAAAAGATCGTTGAATTAAACTAATATCGACTGAATCCCATGAAGCCTTAATCCAATTTACTATCATTTCATAGGATGGTCTTTTAATTTTACCAGTGGGTGTTAGTTCTTTGACAGAATCAATCATCCAGTCAGCATAGTGTTGCCGCATCTATATACGTAGTAAAATACAGTATAATTAGAATATAAAAAATAAAATAAGAAATTAATAAAATTTTAATTTAATATATTTTTTTTTTTTACCTTCATTTTGAACAGTTTATTTAATGAAACATCCAAAGGCTGTAAGCAAGACGTCAACCCTCCGGGAATGACAGCGATATTTGTGTTTTTGTTATAAAGGCGTTGCTTTACAGAATCAGTTATATGTGCTTTAAATGAATCTAAAACTAATAATGATTGTGCATTTGCAGATCTTGAATGTTTGGTCCAAATGTTCTCAATCCAATAAAGCATCTCGCTTTCATTCATCCATCCAGTGGAATTGGCCCGAACAATAACTTCTCGTGAAAAATTTCCTCGTGGAATATTTTTGAGTTTAAAGATTACAAGCGGGGG